CTTAGGGAGATAAGAAGGTCGGAGGAGCACCTAAGAAGATAAGAAGGCTGAAGGAGCACCTAGAGGGGTGGTGAGTAACACACATGTTGCAGGAGGCAGGGACCTGCCTCCTGCAACATGTGTGTTACTCACGTTTCAACAATGGAGATACCCAACTGTAGCACACGTATGTTAACCACCAACTTGTCGGCATATTTAACTATATTCAACATACCTAAAGAGGTAAAGTTTTGTCAGGAAAACCCAGCCGATGTTAAGGGCAGGTAAATTATGCCTCAATACGCTCTTGGATTTGTATGAGTTTGTTTCGAAGATAAAATATAAAGGCCAGGGTTGAGGTGGATCGCATCTTCCTTGACTGCAGAAATGACTGATACAAGACTCTACCAGAGGTTGATCCAGAAAGTGAATAATGACCAAGAGTCAAAGAGACAGTGCCCAGGTGGATCAGGAAGTGACGGGCTGGTCACACAGGTGGGACAGTTATGGAGGAATCTTTAGAATGAGCTAGAGTGTTATGCATTAATGGCCGAAATGTTCTGCATAACTAGATGTCACCCATCTCTGCTCACTGGATCATGCTGGAATAAATATTATTATTATTATTATTATTATTATTATTATTATTATTATTAGTAGTAGTAGTAGTAGTAGTAGTAGTAGTAGTAGTAGTAGTAGTAGTAGTAGTAGTGGTAGTATACTAATATTATAAAATGGCAAAAGGTTGACAAATCAGTCACAGATCAATAAGATCTGAACACCTTAACATTACCTCGTCACGTCGCCTCTAAATTCGACTGAAAGCCCCTGCAGCGCAGGCGAAACGTTCCAGCAATAAGATATCCAAGTGTTGCACATGAGTCTTATTAATCGTGAGTGAAAGTGAGAAGTGGTGTACCACAAGCCTCGGTACTGGGGCCGCTAAACGGGGGATGAATCATATTCGTCTGTCATTACTGATAATGTGACGCTGATGAGAAAGATATAATCAGCGGAAGACGGGAATATCCTTCGAGTTCATCTCCTTAAGCTAAAGAACTGGCCAGGAAAATGGCAGTTGGAATTCAGCGCCGGTAAATGCAAGATACACAGCATCGGAAAGGCTGAAGGATGGCGAGAAATGGAGCACAGAAGAGCCTGGGACCTGGAGATCACACTCGCCACAAATATACAGCATCACCCAGATGAGTATATGAACTGAGTAGGATCAGCAGCAGAGAAGAGACAATCAAATCTAAGGATACCTTCGAGAACCAATACAGAGAATCATAGAGTACGCAACACATGGACTATGCAACCCCGACCTTGTAAATCACATGTAGAAGCTAAAGGAATTTTAAAAAGTTTGCAACAAGACTTGTCCCAGAGATTAAAAAAATGTGATTCTAGGAAAGAATCGAAGAACTACGTCTAGAAAACCTAGAATCGACGAGGCAGACAAAGACAGACTGTTCAGGAAGGGAGGACCAGAGACCGCAGACTGAAATTTAAGACACAGCTGGGCCACAGAGACGCCAAAAGGAGTATCATTAGTCTCAGGGTGATTCAAAAGTGGCGAAATTAGATAGATGCGAAGACTCCCTCCATTCACAGCTTCAAAAGCAGGTATAATAACGCCCCGGGGAACAAATTTGTACCTTGCTGGTACAAATCAGTGAATACACCCGAGATACACTACAAATACAACAGTACCCACATGAAGTTCACTCTATTTAAGTATATTTCTTCTTTATCACAGAGATAAATTTATAGATCGGGAATGTTTTGAAATTCATTTTATTTCTGAGAGGGAAACAAAAGGCACAGGTGAGCAGGAAGAACTCGCATAATGACTCTTGTGACGGGGGACGGAGAGACCTAAGCTCAAAATATCGAGTCGAAAAATTGCCATATAGTTTTCGGTAAACTTTTGCAGTCAAATTCTGACCAGTGTTGCATTGTTGGTGTGTTGCAGTGTTGGTGTGTTGCAGTGTTGCAGTGTTACAGTGTTGGTGTGTTGCAGTGTTGGTGTTGCAGTGTTGCATTGTTGGTGTGTTGCAGTGTTGGTGTGTTGCAGTGTTGGTGTGTTGCATTGTTGGTGTGTTGCAGTGTTGGTGTGTTGCAGTGTTGCATTGTTGGTGTGTTGCAGTGTTGGTGTGTTGCAGTGTTGCATTGTTGGTGTGTTGCATTGTTGGTGTGTTGCAGTGTTGGTGTGTTGCAGTGTTGGTGTGTTGCATGTTTGCATTGTTGGTGTGTTGCAGTGTTGGTGTGTTGCAGTGTTGGTGTGTTTGCTGGTGTTGCATTGTTGGTGTGTTGCAGTGTTGTGTTGCATGTTGGTTGTTGCAGTGTTGGTGTGTTGCAGTGTTGGTGTGTTGCAGTGTTGGTGTGTTGCATTGTTGATGTGTTGCAGTGTTGGTGTGTTGCAGTGTTGGTGTGCTGCAGTGTTGCATTGTTGGTGTGTTGCAGTGTTGGTGTGTTGCATTGTTGGTGTGTTGCATTGTTGGTGTGTTGCATTGTTGGTGTGTTGCAGTGTTACAGTGTTGGTGTGTTGCAGTGTTGCATTGTTGGTGTGTTGCAGTGTTGGTGTGTTGCAGTGTTACAGTGTTGGTGTGTTGCAGTGTTGCATTGTTGGTGTGTTGGTGTGTTGCATTGTTGGTGTTTGCAGTGTTGGTGTATTGCAGTGTTTTCAGTCTTGGTGTGGTGCACTGTTGCATTGTTGGTGTATTCTTGTGTGTTACAGTGTTGGTGTGTTGCAGTGTTGGTGTATTGCAGTGTTACAGTGTTGGTGTGTTGCATTGTTGGTGTATTGCAGTGTTGGTGTGTTGCGTTGTTGCATTGTTGGTGTGTTCAAATGTTGGTGTGTTGCAGTGTTTGTGTTGCAGTGTTGTGTGTTGAGTGTTGGTGGTTGCATTGTTGGTGTATTGCATGTTGGTGTGTTGCAGTGTTGGTGTGTTGCAGTGGTTGCATTGTTGGTGTATTGCACTGTTGGTGTGTTGCAGTGTTGGTGTGTTGCATTGTTGGTGTGTTGCATTGTTGGTGTGTTGCATTGTTGGTGTGTTGCATTGTTGGTGTGTTCTTTGTTGGTGTGTTGCAGTGTTGGTGTGTTGCAGTGTTGGTGTGTTGCAGTGTTGGTGTGTTTGCAGTGTTGGTGTGTTGCAGTGTTGGTGTGTTGCATTGTTGGGTGTGTTGCAGTGTTTGCATTTGATGTGTTGCAGTGTTGGTGTGTTGCATGTTGGTGTATTCAGTGTTGGGTGTTGCATTGTTGGTGTGTTGCATTGTTGATGTATTTCAGTGTTGGTGTGTTGCAGTGTTGGTGTGTTGCAGTGTTGGTGTGTTGCATGTTGGGTGTTGCATTGTTGGTGTGTTGCAGTGTTGGTGTGTTGCAGTGTTGGTGTGTTGCATTGTTGGTGTGTTGCATTGTTGGTGTGTTGCATTGTTGGTGTGTTGCATTGTTGGTGTGTTGCATTGTTGGTGTGTTCCTTGTGTTGGTGTGTTGCAGTGTTGGTGTGTTGCAGTGTTGGTGTGTTGCATGTTGGTGTGTTGCAGTGTTGGTGTGTTGCAGTGTTGGTGTGTTTGCAGTGTTGGTGTGTTGCAGTTTGGCGTGTTGCATTGTTGGCGTGTTGCGTTGTTGGTGTGTTGCATGTTGGCGTGTTGATTGTTGGCGTGTTGCAGTGTTGGTGTGTTGCAGTTTTTGGTGTGTTGCAGTGTTGGTGTGTTGCAGTGTTGGTGTGTTGCATTGTTGGTGTGTTGCAGTGTTGGTGTATTTCAGTGTTGGTGTGTTGCAGTGTTGGTGTGTTGCAGTGTTGGTGTGTTGCATTGTTGGTGTATTTCAGTGTTGGTGTGTTGCAGTGTTGGTGTGTTGCAGTGTTGGTGTGTTGCAGTGTTGGTGTGTTGCATTGTTGGTGTATTTCAGTGTTGGTGTGTTGCATTGTTGGTGTATTTCAGTGTGGTGTGTTCATGTTGGTGTGTTGCAGTGTTGGTGTGTTGCATTGTTGGTGTGTTGCATGTTGGTGTGTTGCATTGTTGTGTATTTCAGTGTTTGGTTGTTGCAGTGTTGGTGTGTTGCAGTGTTGGTGTGTTGCATTTTGTGTATTCAGTTTGGTGTGTTGCAGTGTTGGTGTGTTGCAGTGTTGGTGTGTTGCATTGTTGGGATTTCAGTGTTAGTGTTTGCAGTGTTGGTGTGTTGAGTGTCTGGTGTTTGCATTGTTGTGATTTCAGTGTTTCGAGTGTTGACAGTGTTGTTGTTGCAGTGTTGGTGTGTTGCAGTATTGGTGATGTTGCAGAAATGGCAATACATTCATAAAGCGCTAGAAAGATACTTGAAACATTAGTAACCGGGAGATGTACAGTATCGTGAAGCCCCAGGATATACAAGTTCACAATAATATTAGGAGCCCCAGTGTATTTAGTGATTTTTATGAGCCTCGGGAATATATGGTGCATTATGGAACCCCTCCTCTCTCTATATATGTATATATATATATTAATATATATATATATATATATATATATGATTATATAATATAGATTATATATTATATTATATTATATATATATATATATATTATGTATGTATATATATTAATAGATTATATATAATACATACAAATACATACATGACATACATACATACATACATACATACTCATACATACATACAGACTATACATACCACATTACATTACATACATACTGAAGCCTCAGAAATGAGTGGTAATATTATGGAGCTCCAGAGATGTATTCTGGTATTACGGAAGGTAAGAGATGTACTCTGGCATTACGGAGCCTCAGAAATATACTCGGGTATTATGGAGGTGATAACCACAGTGAGCATCTCACTCAAACTTTCCTGTTACTATGAACAGGAAACTAGTTTCACTTGGAGTTAAAACACCAAATTTTTACATCTTTATGGCTTAAAAAATGAGGAATATTCTGAAGACGTGAGATGTAATCGAAACGCCTACACAAGGAATCCAAAGGCAAAAAAATGAAATACTGGAAGGTAATTGGATACTAACAGTGGAGAAGGTGAGGAATATATCAGTCAGCAGTAGACGAAGAGGTGGCCGTTCAAGGTGCTGCTGCTTGCTGAACGTGGGGAAGAACTGAACGTTGAAGGAGGGACGGATCTTGGGCTGGGTGGTTCGACGGTGGCTAGGTGGAGAGTGGCTAGTGGAGAGACTGCCAGGATGGTTAGGGGGGGTTATGTGTGTATGTGTGCGTGTGTGTGTGAGTGTGTGTTGAGGTGAGATGGGCGGTACGCAGGTCTGTTGAGCCAGGGGAACACTGGTGGGCGTGGCTCGCTGCTGCTGCTGCTGCTGCACGCCCACGCCTTCCCTTAACCCCTACCCCCCATTACTCTCCTCTTCCCTCCACTCCCCCCATTCCGTCACCCAGCCTACCTCACCCCTCCTATTCCTCCCTCCATTCACGTCTCTCACTTCTACGACCCGCTGTGTCCCTCTCTCTTTTCTCTTTTCTCTTTTCTCTTCTCTCTCTCTCTCTCTCTCTCTCTCTCTCTCTCTCTCTCTCTCTCTCTCTCTCTCTCTCTCTCTCTCTCTCTCTCTCTCTCTCTCTCTCTCTCTCTCTCTTTTTACATTCTCACTCCCTGTTTCTCTTTTTTTTCGTTGTCGATGCTGTTTCTGCTTTACTGTTTCTCGCAGACTGCTGTTATTGATCTGTGTGCTGTAGTTCTGTCGTCAGCTGTTGCCTGTGCTGCTGGTGTGCTGCTGCTGCTGTTGCTGGTGGTGGTGGTGGTGGTGGTTCTGCTGCTTCTGCTGGTGCTGCTGGTGCTAGTGGTGGTGTTGCTGCTGGTGCTAGTGGTACTACTGCTGGTGGTGGTGGTGTGCTGCTGCTAATGCTGGTGGTGGTGGTGGTGGTGGTGGTGCTGGTTCTGCTGCTGCTGGTGGTGCTGCTGTGCTGGTTCTGCTGCTGCTGCTGCTGGTGGTGGTGGTGTGCTGCTGCTGCTGGTGGTGCTGCTGCTGTTGGTGATACTGCTAGTGGTGGTGGTGGTGGTGGTGGTGGTGGTGGTGGTGGTGGTGCTGCTGCTGCTGCTGGTGATACTGCTGGTGGTGGTGGCGCTGCTATCTTTGTGCTACTGCTGGTGGTGCTGGTGCTGGTGGTGGTGCTTGCTGGTGGTGGTGGTGGCTGGTGGTGGTGTGGTGGTGGTGGTGGTGCTGGTGGTGGTGGTGGTGGTGGTGGTGCTGCTGGTGTGGTATGCTGCTGGTGGTGGTGCTGCTGCTGCTGCTGATGCTGGTGGTGGTGCTGCTGCTGGTGCTGGTGGTGGTGGTGCTGCTGCTGTTGCTCTTGCTGTTACTGCTGTGAATTTTATATTTGCAGTTTCTGTTGCAGGTGTTGGCACGTATGTTCATGACGTCACTGTTGTTATGTAATTTCTGTTTACTGTTGATAATGACGCTTTGACTGTTTTTCTATATTAATAGTGATGCTGTCACACCTGCTTTTCTGTTGCTGTTGAGACTGTCACTGTTGTATTTCTGTTGATAATGATGCTATCATTCCTGTTTTACTCTTGATGGTATAATTCCTGTTTTTCTGTTGATGTTACCATTCCTGTTTTTCTATTGATGTTGATCCTTTTATTGCTAATATTGATGTTCTGTGTTTACATTTAAATATTGTTTCTGTTGATGTTTCTACCGTTATTTTCTACTGTTGCTTCTATTTTCCTTAATACTGTTGTTTCTGTTGGTGTATGGCCTATGTGTCTGAGATAATGATATTGATGGTGATGATAATAATAATGATAATTATGATGATAATAATAATGATAATTATAATGATAATAATAATAATAATAATAATTATGATGATAATAATAATAATAATTATTATGACTATTATTAGTATTAGTATTATTACGAGGAATCGATAAATTTGTTAGTCACATAGCATCTAATCAGTAATCAGGTTTGATCCTAGGAGGGGAGGTATCTCCAACTCCTTGGATCAAGAGCGCTTCACCAGCATCAAGACACGTCCCAAAAAGGGACCTTAAACATGACATACATATCTCAGTGTATATACACTGACAGACATGTACTCTCAGTGTATATACATTGACAGACATGTACCTCTCAGTGTATATACACTGACAGACATGTACCTCTCAGTGTATATACACTGACAGACATGTACCTCTCAGTGTATATACACTGACAGACATGTACCTCTCAGTGTATATACACTGACAGACATGCACCTCTCAGTGTATATACACTGACAGACATGTACCTCTCAGTGTATATACACTGACAGACATGTACCTCTCAGTGTATATACACTGACAGACATGTACCTCTCAGTGTATATACACTGACAGACATGTACCTCTCAGTGTATATACACTGACAGACATACACCTCTGAGTGTATATATACTGAGACCTACACCTCTCAGTGTATATATCCTTGATCGTGCCTTGATTAATGAGGGTTTGAAACCTATCCACTACACAGGAGTGTAGTGGATAGGTGTATATACACTGTATATACACTGACAGACATGTACCTCTCAGTGTATATACACTGACAAACATACACCTCTGAGTGTATATATACTGAGACCTATACCTCTCAGTGTATATATCCTTGATCGTGCCTTGATTAATGAGTGTTTGAAACCTCTCCACTACACGGGAGTCATTAGGTTCCATCAGGCAGTTGCTTGACCAGGAATGTTGAAAAAATCGTATAAAATACTGACAAGTTGACGATTAAGACACATGTACAACAGTTGGGTATCTTTATTGTTGCCACCGCCTCCTGCCTTCAGCTTCTTATCGTTCCCGACCATAGAGTTGAACTCCAGGCTGAGGGACTGACCACCTCAAACTACAGGGTTATAAAGGGGAGACAGTGGAAGATGGGATAGTCAGTCCCCTCGGCCCAGGAGCAGGTGTGGAGCATGAATCTGGAGCACAGGCATGTTCATGTAGGTTTGCCAGGACGGGTCCTGACCCGTGTGTTCTCCGTGTGGTGTCCCGACACAGGCTCCCGAAGGAGTGTCGGAGTTGGTATAAGTGATGTACCGTTTACAGCCCTATGACATCGCAGCCCTGTGACAAAGGTAGGTGAGTTTTCTACAGGTCAGGTGGGGTACCGCTTCCAGCCCTATGACAAGGGCGCAGTGAGCCGGCTTTGTATCAAGTCGGTATTGTATACCATTCTTTTACATCAAGTCGAGTTGCAATGATTCAACTCCAGGTGAGGTCCAGGAGATTCTCCGGAGGTGTGTTGTACACCTGACGTCTGACTGAAGTGGGAGCACAGCCAGGATGATGTAGTAGCAGTATAAGACATAACCAAATCCGGGAGTAGCGAGTCTTGGTACCTCGATTACCATCACTCAGAAACAATAATTATGATTTATGAGGGAGGTGATATTGACATGAAAGTTGTGTACATTATGAAAGAGAAGTACATGGTAGTATCTTATAACCGATGGTACACTGTACCAGAATGGACCAGTAGACATAACACACGACTTTTCTTTACATAAGACCCTTAACCAAATTCATTATCTCGGTGTCACTGATACACGTCATATCAAACTGTCTCTCACAACACATATAAACATTAATATTTATGTAAATAAACTAGCAAACTGGGGTTTCGTAATTTATTTTGCAAATGTCTTTATAAATTACACAGTTTTTCAGTACAAGACGTGTGGAGGATGGTGGAGTTGTTCCAGCAGTACCAGGGTAAGTGTGGAGGATGGTGGAGTTGTTCCAGCAGTACCAGGGTAAGTGTGGAGGATGGTGGAGTTGTTCCAGCAGTACCAGGGTAAGTGTGGAGGATGGTGGAGTTGTTCCAGCAGTATCAAGGAAGTTGTGGAGGGTGGCGAACTTGATTTCCTAAATACATAAACCTCTTAAGCATCCGTGGTTGTCTTAGGCTTCCGTCGTCTCGCCGTCTTCACTTTCTTCATCTCTTCCTGAAGAAAAGATAAATATGAAACAAAAACACTCCACCTAACCTCTAAGATGATGATACAATGAGAAAAAATACTGAGAAATGCAAGTACCATTGAAAAATTATATCTCCACTGCTTCTTCTCGTGTTCAACCGAAGAAACTTACTTTGTAGGCGAAACGATTCGTACATGTTGATAAGTGGTTGGGAAAACTGACAGCAGGATCTGCCTAGCGTGGGCCAGTAGGTCTGCTGCAGTGTTCTTACCAGCAAATTGGAACCAAGCAAAATTATATCAGTGGGTCCTTACAAGGTGGTATCTTCCACAGTGACTAGCAGCACTAGATACTTACCCGAGAGTCAGATTCCAGACCAGACTTGTGAGCAAGAAGGTGCCGTGCAAGAGATTTGCCACTGCATAGCTTGAAGCAATGAGGACATTGTTGGTTCTTGTGCGTATTGCAGTAAAGTTGCAGAACTCTAATGCTTTTCCCCGCAGATTTCTTCGTTGTCGAGGTTAACGACGTTTGAGGGATGGGTAGCTCCGTGTTCTCCATCTTCACATGCGGCTCCTGGTCGTTGTGGATCAGGATGAGTGGCTCTAAGTTCTCCATCTTCACATGTGGCTCCTGGTCGTTGTGGATCAGGATGGGTGGCTCCGTGTTCTCCATCTTCACATGTGGCTCCTGGCTGACCGTCTCGTTATCGTCGTGCTCCATCAGGAAAACATATGCCTTGGCAATTTTATCAGCGTCAAACTGAAACTCGTCTTGGGGCGGAGTTGGGATGATGTCCGGCATGCCATCAATAGGTAGATCACACAAGGAAGAACAAAAATCTTCAATTATGCGATCACTTAGCTGATGTTCGTTAAGTTCCATCCCTGGACGACTGAGAACTACACAAACGAAATGATTACACTGCCTGACATGGCTTATATATGAAGCCAGTCAGGTCACATCATCAGGTTAACAAGGTGTTTGCTTGTAAATGAATGGTTCAGAGAACCGACACGTTGATAAATTAGACACATGTGCAACTCTTGGGTATCTTTATTGAGGAAACGTTTCGCCACACAGTGGCTTCATCAGTCCATACAAAGGAGAATCATAAAGGTCAGGAGGAGAATGAGGTAATCAGTCCCTCAACCTTGAGTCGATGTGGTCAGTCCATCAATCTTGAATAGAATAAGGCATATGTGCGGATAAGGAGCTTATAAACCACAGGCAGAAGAGGTGCAGCAGTCGTAGGTGGTGTCACATTTTTTCAATGTGGAAGTAGGT